GGCCTATTTAAAATTAAAAGAAAATGGTTTTTATTAAAAATATAAAAACGGTCATGCAATAACTTGAGGAAATTAAGCAAACATTGAAACTCAAAATGTACTTGGCTTTATAAAAAAACATTTATGTTTATGTACCCGGTATTGTCAACAAAGACTCCCTGAAATTGTTTTGAAAACAGCTTAAAAACTCTGGGGGACCTTTGCTAGCATGGGTGGAATCCCCGGTGGGATCCCTTGGCCCCCAGCTCCCTAGCCAACTGGTGTAGTCACGCAAATTTCTCAGGTTGGTGTTGATTTTCTTTAATACACTGGAATAGGCGTATGATGATTTACAGATATCTTGTCAGAAAAAAGCATTCATCGAGTTTACTGATTGATGAGCAACATGACAGAGATCAACAGCGTCAGAGAAAGAAACGTATACAATGTTGTGCCTTGGGGTGAGCAGCCTCATTACTGCTTTTAGTATGGAATTTTGTGTGTAAACATGAAGCAACATATGTGAACTCTCGACAACTCAATGGACAGCGCTGACTTAAATCACACGTCAGGTCTGCAGGATATACAAATCAATACTATCCAATCGAATAATAGACGAGGGAATACAGATATAGGCCCCCATCTACCCTTATTATCTTCTACTGTAGCATCTGTATTAGGCCTATATAGCATTCACCCATCAAACATTCATGATAATGCACAGGCATTCCAAATAGCATGAGAAGGGGAAAACAGTCTTGAACGCAAGATCAGCATATACAATTATTACATAGGCCCCTATACAGTTTTTTTTTAGCATATGAGACATAATTGCCTACATCTTTTCCATAAATCAGGATAGCCGTAGACCTGTCATATTTATCATGTTTAGTACTATGTTATCTATATTGTAAAGAGGGAATTTCATATTGATGACTTTAAAACTTGAGGACGTAGGCTTACATGCATGTAACAAATTTTGTTTTTCTTCAACAAATGCACAATAAATGGTACAAATGCGACAACGTGAAGGCATATATCTCTAAACAATAATAGGCCCTATTTTATTATCAGCTTATTATCTGCTTTGATTGTCGTTGCATTGATAGGCATCTCATTCTAATCTTATGTATCGTGGAGCTCCATGTTCGTGCCGAGTGCAGGGTCGAATTTAGAGTGGTATGAACAGATTTTAACCCTCCTGAAATGTTATCAACATGTCATGCTTTTTTTTCTTATTGTGAAATAATATCATAAGTTGGCCTAAAATATTAAACAATACTGTAGTTTACCAATCACATTGCCGGTGCGTCATGAGTGAACCATACTGCCATGGTGGTGGTGCTGAGGTAGGTGTTGATTCAAACCACCAGACATTTTCGGTAGCCCCATACTAACGAAAAATCCCAGATCAGCCCCTGGAGTAGCCACAAACTCCGTTAAGCAACTTGCTCAAGAAGATGTTTTATGTTTGTGGTTTGTAGTTTATTGTTAAGGTTATTATACAAGTGGGCAGTTCACCTCTTGGGCGACTGCCTCCCGCTACCAGTATGTACTGTAATTCTTTAAGGCGTTCATCTAATTGAAATTGTTTATTAGAATTGAAATACACTATTAAAAAAAAAAACTGATGTAGGCCTATTTCAATTTTGGTAACCAAATTCATTTCTGTTATTCCATTTGTATGTTTCAAAGACCCACCACTCTTTGATTTGAGTGCCATCGGGCCGATGTAAATGGTGAATATTAATGAAGTAGTACAGTATCAATGTGGTAAACTTAAGATATATCCGATACACTAAATAATGATCGTTGCAATCAAGGAACAGTTGTCACAGAGAAACCGGGCAATTGATATCATTTCAATGTTTAGTATTATTTTCGGCATTTTAGTATACGCTAAATATTACGAACAGGACGAAATCATTAATTGCTTACAGCAGATAAGTCTAAGCATGTCTATAGAAATCGAAACCAAATCGAAATCAAGATATATTGTGCTATATCAAATAGGCCTAATTATACTTTATTCATAAATATATTATCCCAAAAATATATAAGAATAATAATAAAATAATAATCGTGTAGATTTCTATAGCGCCGGTATCCTTCAAACAATATGCATGGCGCTTGATAGGCAAGTAACTCGATCAATGGTTTTTATAATTCAAGATTTGATTACTTAATTATTATTATTATTATATGTTTAAAATTACTATTCTTTTATAATTTTATTGACTTTGTTGACAAAATTAAAATAGAAACAAGCCAATGTAAATTAAAGTTGTGTTAATCGGTTGCGAAGTTAATGACTTATGTTATTATTACTGTATGTGGAAATAACATCTTCTATTAAATATCGTTTATTTTTCTAATGACTATTTAATGCAATTAATTATTATATTTTTATTATTACTATTCTTTTAAAAGTTTGTTGATATCTAAATATATGATAGATTTGAATTGAATCGAATTGAATTCAATTATTATGTTATATTTTTTGATTTTTATTTAAGGCATTGTTTTGTAAATTGTTCATTGATAAGAAAGTATAATACATACTCCAAGTATTGAAATACACGCCATCGGTTCATTGATATTTTATATTAATTTGTTAAAAAAAGGTATAGTACTCTCTTTTTTTATTTATTTCTGTATAGCTTTTGTGATGTTGCGATTTCTTGAACTGTCAGCTTAATGTTTTTGTTTTTTTTAATGTGAGGGCCCCATGACCGCTGTTTATGGCACCCTTGGAATGTAGAATAAAAAAGTAACATTGATCAGTATTACGTATATAATGCACACGCGTCATCGTGTCAAGGTCATTATATCTAAATAATGGTTTCTTACTACCAATTATATATAAATAACCGTTGAAGTAGAGTGCCATGATATATAAATAATGACATCGTAGGAAGCCATGGTTTATAAATAATAATGCAAATTACGAAGTAATAAATATTCACCAGTGCTCTTTAAGTTACAATTAGGGCCTATTTTGTGTGGTCTACAGGTCGCAGACCATCACCTATCGAAAATGGCACAGCAAGACATACAGCAGATTATTGAATCTGCTGTACTTCAAATCTTAAATCAATTAAGAGAACCCCAAAGTGAACGCCACGGCCCTCAGGAATCTCGATTTGAGTCTGTCGTGTCCGGGTCCGGGGAAATGTCCGGATCAGCTGCCGGTGATAGGCATAATACCGAGGATCATCAACTTTGGGGTTCTCTTAATTAAATTTAAATTTGCAGTACAGATGATTCAATCAGTGATGGAGCCAGGATTCCCCCACCCCCCCCCCCACCGACCGGCGTGGGGACCAGTGGAGCGAATCGAGTCTCACACAAAGGCTGTAACCCTTTCATTATTTATATATATTGAAATCGAGCCTCACTTGGCTGTAGCTTTTGAATATTTATTACTTCGTAATTTGTATAACGAATTATTTATAAACGATGTCATTATTTATATATAATATAGCACTCGACCTCAACGGTTATTTATATATAATTGGCAGTAAGAAACCATTATTTAGATACGTGTTGTAGTGAAAACAGGTATTTATCGTGAAAACAATGTAAAATTATGATGATGATAAATGATGATGAAACTGTATGGCTAAATGTTCAAAGAACAGATATCGATAATAGTGCATTTTACGTTTCATACACAGGTATTGGTCCATCAATATAAACTAAAGTTGTGTTAATTATCTTTTGCGAAGTTAATGGTTTTGGCGGTAGCGCGGATTGCGGCAATTTCTATGCCTTTATTAAAAGTTGACTCCAATTCAACTTTTCATAAGAAAAGTAAGGGGAAACGTATGCTGTCTGTATATACTCGTTGCTTATACTGTACTACAGGACTAGATTATTGTTTCCTGTCGACGTAAGAAGGCAGATTTACTTACGATTACGTCGTTTTATCGTAAGAAAATGCGATTTGACAGGAAACCGATTACGGCTGGTGCGTTGTGAAATCGACGTAACGTAAACTAAAATCGTCGCAAAACAGTTTTGGACAGGAAACCGACGCATTGAATTTTCATGTGATACGTCGATTTTTCACTATTTGACAGGAAACCGCGATTTAGTGACTTTTTGTTGAATGAACTCGCATACGTTGCGTTGCAAACGATTCTTATGAAAAGTTGACTTGGAGTCAACTTGTCATAAGAAACGTAAGCGGAAACGTATGCTGTCTGTATATCTTGCCTATATAACAACATTGTCGACGAACTAGAACTCTCATTGACTTACGTATTTATAATAAAATGGTTAAAAAGAAGCATATCCTGCACTTTTTTTAAACACAATGATAGGCATGTAAAATCTTATAGATTTTGCTAGCCCTATACACAGTGGCGGCTCTAGAGTATAATTTATGGGGGGATCAAGAATGAGGATTGCAATTAGATTTAATAAATTACATTTATTATACAAAAAAAACTTATAGGCCTACAATATAAAAAAATATATATAAAACGTTATAATATAGGGCCTAAATAAATAAATAAAATATAAAATATATAGGCCTATTGCCAGTTGGAATGTTTTCTGTTAATTTCAATAAACAATTTTTTTCAAATGTATTTCATTCTTAATTTTAATTCATGTTTATATTATACAACCCGAATTTTTGTCCAACTTCTCGTAACAGTCGTAAGAAATTCTGAACTTTACGTCGACAAGAAACTGGGCTAGAAGTGAATTGATAATTATGACCATGCATATGACAGTTATTGTTTATTATTTTTGTTAAGAAATAGAAAATTTATCATGCATCACCAGAATTTTTAGCAACACGTATTAGCAAACTGATTCATATTTCACTAAATAAGTCACATGCGTGACAACGTATTTCAAAACAAGAGAAAATCCCCTGGTGAAGAACTTGAAATCATCCTCGTTAGTGCTCTGCGGTCATCTAGTTTCCTCTCCCGACGCGTAACAACTACTGTAATGTGATTGGTCATTGATCTGAGGAAGGGAGGTTCTGCTAAAATTGATTTATTAGTTTTGCTCAGTTTGTATACAATCTTGACACGCTTATCTGGCCAAGAATCCATGGTATACGTATATGCCAACAGCATTAAGTTTCTGGCACTGGTTAGTTCTACCCATGAACCAGTTAGCTACAGTCAGTATATCCAGGGAGTTGCTGTAGTGGTACAGTATCCGGCATTGTGTCTTGTGATTATAAGATGAAGAGGCGGTCTACAGTCCAGTTTTTCTAATATTCCTACCTGGGATTTATCAGTGTTTCAAGTTTAAAACACGAGAACAAAGAAGATATAGGCCTAATAAAATCAAGGTAGCTATTTCATATTTTTCTTTTTCTTTTTTATATAACCGAAAACCAAAATTAAAACCACGGAACCAAATTCTTTTTTAGAGATATACTCATTGTACACAGTTTACATTAATTTTGAATATATTTATGACTATGAATCATGATAGACTTTTGTTTTCTTCATCAGTGTAGTCTGCATCCTATTAATATTTTAAAATCGTATACAGGCTGCATCCAAACCATTTAGTGTATTAATGCTGTATTCTTGAACATGAATGTTATAATAATGTCTATCGGTTTCAGAAGTTTGCCGTAGGTCTTAAATTAGTATAAGCTGTGTATATAAGATGTTAACTGTTTTCATCAGCAGGCCTAAAGATAGCGAAACAGTTCTCTGTGTAAAATGAAACCGTTCGTGTTTCATATTATGCGGCAGCATTTGTGGAATAATAAGGGGTGGCGCCCGTCGGGGATAGCTCCCGTCGGGGATAGCTCCACCCCCCCCCCCCCCCCCCGGGGGGATAGCCCCCCCCCCCCCCCCCCACCACCGTTAGGGAGAAGAAGCACAATTCATCGGGGAGAAAAATATTATTTCATACATAATTATATGTATTTCTACATATTAGTATACTCTAAAATCGATTAAATAAGCCTTTAAAAACCCTAAATTGTCAAATTTTCGGGGGATTCTCCCCCTGGACCACTTTCGAAACCTTTTAATCGAAGCTAATCCTGGCGCCACCCCTGGAAGAAATAATGTATATGTGACAATGACAACAATCAGGCCTAATGAATGACAGCAGACGTTGTAATCTTCAGATATTAAGCATCTCTGCCATACATTCTTCAAATATTGAATATTTCACTGCATTTCTATTTAAAATTTACTTGGGCTCTGGCACGTAAACTGATGGTGTATGTACAAGATTCTGTACAAACAAAACGTGAGGTACTGTATTTTGGAATTCGATTCAAAGCAAAACTGAGAAACTCTGTTATCTCTATGACACGGGGATTTTTTTCAGCTACGAGACAAGATAATTCAATTTTATTGTCTGAAAAACTCAAATTACATTCCACTGACAGTGTTACAAGGGTTATTGACATATACAGTAATAAATAAAAGATAACTAAGAAATATGAAGCTATGAGCACCAAACAATATATATTCATAAGATAAAGAGTACATACAAAGAACAGAATATTAAACATTATTAAACAATATTAGGGCCTACATACTAAACTTATTTAAATTAGGCAAAAATTGCACTAAAAAACAACAATTATCTATTTAAATTAACATCATTATTATATGAAGGTGAATTGAGTTGGGAACGAAGGAGTTTCTGTAACGGCAACGTGTGGTCACTTGAGTGGCACATTTAGACGGAAACCAGAGTTGTTAAGAGTAAAATCATTATGTAGTGGATGAGCAATGCCCTAGCCAGGATTTTCAAACAGTACAGGACAATATCAGGGTGGACCCACTTTACGCGTAAATTCAAACAATGTGGACCGATTTTATGCAAAAATATGAAAAATCTGGACACATTTTCTTAAATTTTACCCATCTTTAAGCTAAATATGAGAAATCTTGACCCATTGTTCAAAAGGTGAACCCATTTTATGCATAAAATTATATAATTTGGACCCATGATTTAAAATGTGGAACCATTCTTTGTGGACCCATATTAGAAAAATGGTGTGGGAATGTCCCAACTGTCCCAATATCTGGCTACGGCATTGTGGATGAGTTGTTTTCTTAAGTTTAGCTAATGTGTATTTGTCATAAATACCATCTAAATGTGTTATTAGTATTCCAAGCCAGTAGGCCTACGCCGAGGCAATTCATTGGCCTCATCATTCCTATAGGCCATCGAAAATATTTATAGAGGAGACCATTACATAGGTGATTTAACAACACAAAGTTTGATTCTAGATCCATTTAATTTACCGAAGACCACGGATGTTTGCGCTGCCAAATACAGTTATATCACTTCCCGTTGATTAATGTCTTGATTCTCTTAATTTTGTTACATGATATTTCCTAGATTGGAACTGGGTTATCATTGAAGAGTAATTATCTGACCTTGTTTGTCGACAGCTTCTTCTGTCCTGTCCAAAGTATTCTCTATCTTTGTATAATTATTGTATACGCCATTGTACCTTTTGGTGACATTTGCTTCACATACCATATTATATATATATCTGACTTAAACGAGAATAAAGATAATTTTAGTGAAATCTAGAAAGAAGATGAGTTTGTAAGCCGTGAGTCATTGGCACGCAAGCGGCGGGAAAAAAAACACTAAAATTCTTCAAAAATCTTATAAATACAGTTAAAGTCCTTGCTTGTACGACGAATTAGAGGTCAATGAGTTTTGGTGGATCGATTTCTGGAATGTGCGAGAGTGTGTCTTGAATTTTCTACCCCTGAAAATGCGGACCTTTGGTAATTTGGCTGGGTGGGTATATGTATGCACCCGTCGCACCCCTCCCCCTGCGTACTGTTAGTGTAGTTGTGACACACAGCAGGTGTGGACCCAAATGGGAAAAGTCTCCCCCTCCCCCGGCGGGTGAAAAAAAAAATTGTCGGGAGAGACAAAGATGTATTTATACTAAATGTTACTCAAAAACCAATTAAATACGCTTTTGAAATTCCATTGTCATAACTGTTGGGACTTCGCCTCCTGGACCCACCCCGAGGAGGTCTGAGCAACATCTGATCACACCCAACTACGCTCTTATCGGGAAAATCGACTCTCTCGTCAGGAACATCGCCGCCGCCCCATCACACTTGCAACTGAGAATCGGGTTCTCCTACGCGCGTTGAATACAATTACATTGTATGCATATAACACTTATTGTAATCACTTAAAATAGTTTGTTTAAAAAGATAATCTATGGGTTCTTTAAATAACCATAAAAGGGAATATCATAGAATGAAGAGATGGATTGTTCGCGACTACTGTATAGAAAAACTTTTTTGGAAAATACCGTGATTTATGATAGGCCTAGATGGTTTTCAACGATTTGTATTAACTACATTGATGGTCTTCTAATTTAAGATTACTTACGGGGTGAGGTAATAAAATATTTAATAAGGTAAGGGTCCTTGATTTTAACGACGCCCTTCCAAAGTAGTAAACCAGGACAAGGAACTTAATTATGAAAGTGCTAGAGCCTTCCTCTTATTCTGATCCAGTAGTAGCTTTGTAATATACCCCAAAATGTAAGGTGATAAATATAGGTGCAGAGCGAAATCAAGACCAGTAGATTCTAGAATTGCATTCACGGGTTATGTGATTAATGTGGAGTTACCACGATAAACTATCCCAATGGCACCCAATTTAAAAATTAGTAACACGATCACGACCTCTGGTTACACAAATATTCAAGCATTATGTCATGATGAGGCATAACCATTACATTATAAATTACCGTACATGCTATTAGCTTAATATTACCACAATTCTGATGTGAATTCTTATTAGACTAGGGAGGGTGGCGGCAGCGGAGGGCCGTCGTGGGGTTTTAGAGAACTTCCCCCACTCCTCCGCACCATCGGGAAGAAAAACACAATTCGTCGGGGAGGCAATAAAACAATTGTATTTTTGTTTACATATTAGTAAAGTAGACTGTAAAAACGAAATAAGCATTTGAATCTCCTAAATTGCCATAGTTTAGCGACGCCCGACCACGCCCACTCGTCGTCGTTCTCGTCGGAAACTTCGGAACCTCGTCGGGAAAGTCCTGACGCCACCCCTGAGACTAGGCCCATCTGAAGAAACACGGAAAAAGAAACATACTGGAACTTGCATACAGTTGTCATTGTAGGATTGTGGTGTGTGCGTGCACATAATTATTTTTTGACAGAATGTCAACACTATCCTGTAGTGATCCGACTTATGTACGTGTCTTCAGTCGATATAGCATGACACGTATTATATTTATTAGACCGCATTATGTTATTTGGCTGATGTTTAAGATATGATTTATTGGTTGAAATAGAGATCATTAAGGTATGTGTACCATAAAAATGAAGGAATGAATTGTAATATGAATAACAAACACTCACTCAATTCTAGTAATCTCTCACAATAATTGTCAGTTTTTGTTGAGATTATATTGTTCACGACAATTAAATAAATAGGTTTATGACTGTGTATATTTAGTCTTTATCATTTTTGTTTTAGATGTAGTCAATTATGTCGATACGTTGATGTCCGGAATAAATAATAATAAAACCAGATATAAAGAAGACATTATGTTTAACATGTTTATGATCTGCAGTTCTGGATCACTGGCATCCCGGCTCCAGATATTTTACTTTATTTGATATTATTGCTATAGGCCTATCAATAGTATAAATCTTTGGAATTCGGCACTAAATTATTTGTGATTACAGTACCAGGGGTACCGTATTGCAACCAAGCGTGAATATTTATTGAATTTCATCCCATGCCTAAAAATACATATAGTGAAACCATGGAGATTTGATCGCATTGCGATCAAAATGAGAGGCCCGCATCATTTTAGTATGGGAACGTTGTGTTGATGTAATGATAATGAGGATGATAATGGTGATGAAGATGATGATGGTGACGAAGATGACGATGGTGGTGGAGATGGTAAAGATGATAATTAATGATGGTGACCTCAAAATAATTTTTAAAAAAATCGCCGACAATCGGTCGATAGAAATTCATCAGTGACAAACTATTACATACACGTAGGCCGATAGAATAACAATTGGAATTAATGATAGGAATACATACTAACCAAGTATATTTTCGTTTCGTTTCCTTTATATGTTTGGCCAGAAAAAAAAGAAATAGTCAGGGGCAGCTTAAGCAAATGAATCACTATAAATCTTTCATGTCAGCTGCCCCCTCCCCACCCCTTACTTTTTAAATACTATCAACAAGACAATCAATAAAAATGTATATAGGCTTCAACACGTTAAACATGTACTTTTAAAGACAATATCCATACACTAAGGATTATATTTTACAATCGCA